GAGTAAATTTGATTTGGAAGCCCCTAAGAAAAAAAAATAAATTGATTTTATAATGCCATTTGTACAAGCTGTGACATAAAATAGTTTGAAAAAAGATTTGTGATCAATCATTAGAATAAGAACGTTTCTTTGTTTGGCAATATTCATGTGTCTTTCTCTTTCTTTTAGTCAATCACAGAATCAGAGAATGGTTGAGCTTGGAAGAGACCTCTGGAGGTCATCTGGTCCAACCCCTCTTGGTCAAGCAGGGCCACCTAGAGCCAGTTGCCCAGGAGCACATTCAGACAGCTCCAAGGTTGTTGGAGATATTAAATCACTAATAACAATTCTCTTTTTACTTAAAGAAATAAAATTATCCAATCATGGAGCTAAAAAGTGTTATATGAGGTAAGTGACCATATGCTAATGACTATCTGACGCAACTGTCACAATTTGCAAGGAATTATTAGGTTGAAATTTCTTGGAAAAAAGCCTTATCCAAATAATTATATTTTAAACTACATATGTACATGAAAGATGAGACATAATCTATCAGATATAATCTAATACAACTCTAATACACTGATTAAAGTCTACATATTTTACCATTGTTTTATGGTTGCTCAAAATTACTAAAACAGTCTTCCACATCTACCACAGCTTGTAATGTAATTTTCAGTAAATTTTATTTGATAGAGTTATTTGCTGCCGTTCTTAAAAAAATAAATGTAATCTGAAGAATTCCCTATTTTGCTAAATCCTCTAAAGATTTAATAGAACATACTGCAGCCATGGACAATGTGAATATATTCAAGGTAGGTCAAGCATATTTTGCCTTCTGTTGAGCAGGTCTAGAAATCCAGAGTGAATTAATGAGTTCAAATACTTAATCTTTAGCATGGAATTTGATTTACTAAAGGCCATCTTTATTCTTGGAGAAAATAAAGCAGGTTAAATTCAGAAGTTCATATTTCTAATGTGGGTAGGACAGAAGTATTCAATTTTTTGTTTCTGTGATTTTTTAAGCAAATAACACATTAAACTAAACTTCCATTATTTCTGTTGCAGAAATAGTTAGAGAGAAATTAGAAAGCATAATTCATGTGAGAACAAAAGATTATTGGTCCAGCAGTTTGACTGCTCCGTTGGCAAATGTTATTAAAAGAACTTTGTACCAAAGAGAGAGAGTGAGAAAGTATTAGGAAAGACGAAAGGCCAGGCAGCAACAAGAGATTGGCCTTTCCCTTCCACAAATACACACACAGTAGATGCTATGGGAGAGGAAAGAAGGAAAAGGAGCTACCTGTTTCAGTGGACCACCAGTGGTGCAGCCTCCAAGAAAGGGAGCAGCAGCAGCAGGAGGAGGTAGCAGAGCTTACTGTAGATTTTTATAAACAAGTATAACTTACAGCTGTGATTTTATGCTGATTCTGCTAGACCAGAACAAGCAGATCAGGTAAAATTCCCCTGTACTCTGCTAGGTAAAAGCTGCTGAAGTTTATCATTATTACATTTGTTTTCTCATCCTAGTGCAGGAAAGAAAGACAAACTATTCCACTACATTGCCACAGAGTAACAGAACAAATCCACTAACTTCTGGTTTTGTCAAATTTCAGATCTGAGCAGACCATGGTTTTATGATCACCGTTCCATCAACAAAAAATGCGGCCTTCACAGTATATGAAAATGGTTTTCTTCAACTAAACATCAAGACAAATCTACAGTCTTCTAACATAATGTTCTGAACCTGCACAGTATGCCCATCTTCAGCAGCATAGCCTCTGCAGCACGCACCAGGATATAGCCAATCCCTGATCTGAGACTCTGATGGCGAGTGCTGTTGTTCTCTACCTGTGTTAGCAGGAAACCTAATTGCCAGAGATATGCTTTACTGTATTTAAATTTGAGATTCAGTCAGAGGTCTCTGAACAAAATTATCTGTCCTGAGATGAACAGGCAGTCATATCAGGTGATCTGATAGTCCCCTCTGGCTGTAAACCATGAAACCTCAGACTTGAACAAACAGTTCCCATTAGGCTCTTAGCATTATAAACAAAAGTTTACTTCATATCTAACATTCTTTTTGCACTAGAGGAAAACGTAAGAACTGCTAAGAACATACATTGCATAACTTGAGCAACGGCCACCATTAGTCCAAAGCCTTTCAGACAATGCTTGGAACTTGCACAGTTTTCTGTGATGTTGCATCATGCATCACACTGCTGTGAAAAACTGGAGAAACAGATCATCTGTGGAATTAGAATTGTCCAACAGCCAGGAAAATAGCTCGAATTTTGTGCAACAGGCAGAACAGAATTACCGTTAATGTTGCTTCAGACACAATGCTTCTACCTCCCAAATAGACAGACTGATACTATGTAAAATGCGTTACCGCTATCAGTTAAATTAACCTAACTTTAACCACTGTCATTTAATTATCTTCATTTTTTTCAGATTAATTTAGGCTGAAGAATTAAAAATATCTACAAGCTGTTAGAAATACATTGCTTTCGTATTTTAAACGTTACCACATTATATAGCAATTGGGAGTTGTCATTTGGGAAAGCACCACAGTTATGAAAAATAGTTTGCAGAGCTTTACAGAAAGTAAAAATACCATATGCTACCATTCATTGTAATTCCTGGTCTAAGGTATTAAGAAGTCTCAACTTTGACATCTCACGTGCACTATTTTTCTCTAAGAATAAACAAGAGAACTACTAAATCAAAATCAAGTATCATCATAAGTCTTTATCAAAGAAATCTGCATAGCCACAAAACTGGGGGTTTCTGCAGTGTGCTAAAATATGGACAGAATTTCTATAATTCCTATATACAGTTTTAATTTTCTGAAGGAGAAAAATGAAGTATTTCCTATTGGGAATTTCTGAAGAAAAGCACTGCTTAAAATACATCACATTTATTAAAAAAAAAAAAAAAAGGATAAAAAGGAATGTTTTTCATCATTATTTGAGCTCTATGCAACATACAGTCTAATTTACCTGTACCCTCAATGGTGACTGGAAATAGCTTATTAAATACACCAATGTTATCAATCAGCCTCATATGCAGACTTTCTTGTTATTGTAAGTCAAATAAATAATGTACACAGGACATAATGGCCAACAGATGAAGTTTATGGCTTTGGATCAGATTTCACAGTGGCATGAAACTCCAATTTATCATTCAATCTTCCACTTCACCATACAGAAAATGTTACCCTCTGCGATATTTTCACTGAACCCCTATGCAATGTTAATAGAAGAATTAAATAATTATATTAACTTATAGTACTCCTTTTTGAAATTAGTTCTGGTGAATGCATTATAATCTTTGTTTTTCTTATAGATCTTCTTCAAAGCTAATTTACTGTATTTTTGGCAGTGCCACTTCACAAAAACTTGGAGAATAGCTAAGAAAATCAAGCTTCAGGTGACAAAATCAGGCTTTACGAAAGGGAAAGACAAACACTACTTTGGTTTCCTGAAGTACTGCCATGAAGAATTAGAAATTAGTATTAGAGTCAGACTGAAGATGTAGACTTCAAATTTGAACTGGAATTTCCCACTGCCCTTTCACACCATCACCTGTCACTACAAAAAAGAATTTGTAGAAAAATTGATTTGCAGAATATCTTCCCCTGTTAGAAAATGGATTTGTGAGATTTAAGAATTATTTGTGTCTCACACATTTCTTAAAAGTAATTAGATTGATAGCATCTGTTAGCAAGCCTCAGTGAAGAAACAGGAAGGTATAAGTTTCTACTCATGCTAATTTCAGCTTAGGCACAACTCTGAAAAAAGGAATGAATCAGAGGTCTTGTGATAATTTAATACCTTTTTCATTTTCCTAGCAGCAAGCATCATAGGAAAGTTAAGCAAATTTTATGTTAGGACCATGAGACTGAAATATTAAGAAGAAAAACGTTATTAATGTTAAGACCATCGGTTTGTTCTTAGACAACAAAGTAGTTGTAAAAGCAATAACTATTCTTGAAGGTATCAAAGGAGTTTAAGCTTATTAGGATGTTATATAAAGTTAAAGCATGAAGATAATGTCAATATTATTTAGACATACTAAACTAGCTAGAGGAGTACAGAATTGTTGTGTGTTAGAATGGCAGGCAGTCCATTCAGTACAGGTGGTCTTGGATTCAGGGCACCTGTTATAAGTGATGTCAAGCATCCATGCAGTGCAAGGCAATACAGAGTAGGTTAAGTGCAGACTCTGTAACCCAGCGTCTTTATCCTCCCGTGTTTTTTGAGAAAGGTACAAAGAACGAGATTGCATGTCAGTGTATGTAGTGGTAAAAGGCAGACAGAAAAGACACTTCTTAATCCAGTTTGGGGATCAGACATTGACAAAAGATATCCTTCTATATCATCAGGGTTGTCTTTTCCTAGTAGAAGACAGCTTTGGATATCAGAGCAGATGAACTTGGTTTTTATCCAACAATTATACTTTGCATCAACTATTCCATAAAGCAGCTATTACTTATGTGTGCAATAATAAAGATGCATAGAGGCTATTTTTTTTCCTGAGTTCCACATAGAAATCTCTATCTTTAACAAATCATTGTTCAGAGATACCCAAGTTAAATATACCTGGTTGCCTAGCTCACAATACTTATTGCAGAATGCAAATGAACGCAGAGAAATTTTCCCGTATTTCCTAAGACAAGTCTGCTTTAATTCCTTAGGAAGACAGAGTATCACATTGCCAAACAATCCTGAGCCTCAGCAATAACTGGAAGTTCAACTACTGAGGCTTGGTAAGACATCATTATCTTTTCAATACACTCTTTTAATAACGATCATGTAACGTTTATAAAGTGGTGAAAGTGCCTAGATTTTAGTGAGCTTTTGTTCCTGCCATAGTTCACAAAATTTCATTACCTCTTTTCTCTGTGAACCATTTCCACACTAGGTCTAACATTGCAGTGATCAATGATCATTCACATCTAACTCCAGCACTCCAACTGTCCTAAGAAATTCATCAATGCTACAAACTACTGACCTTACCCTAAACCCATCTGATTGCAGGCCAGTTGGCTTAAATTTTCTTGCCACTCATCAGCACAAACATGGTTATCAGCAGCTGACCTGTGAATGGTCAGGAACATCAAGGAATTCATGTTTTTAGACAGGGTAACTGCAAAGAAAAAGAAAAAGAAGAAGAACTTCATTATTATTTCACAGTTAGTTTTATAAATGGCATACTGAAAACATACAACTACATTCAAAAGAGTTTTCGAACATGCTGGCACTTTTGCTGATTTTATACACTCAGTAGCTATGTCATTTAAAACCAAGGCAACCATGGCTATCAGAACCTTGCTAACATTCAACAGCATGAGACACTAAACAACAAAGGCATCTTGAGGATTAGAATAAACCAGAATACTCTTGACTCACCAGCACAGGTTCACATGGGTTTCTGATAGCCTTAATCTTGTTAAATGATGTTTTACCCCACAAATAGTCCAACTGAAATCACTAAAGTAATTTGTGGGATGAATGCTGCTTGACATAAGAGTGATACCATCATTTGACTCTCGGTAATATGCACTGTTCCTGTCATAACAATATGTGGGTGTAATTAGAGAAAGAAAAAACAACTACTGTTTACAAGAAAGATCGTGACCATTGCTTCTTTCTTAATTCATGTATAAAAGTGTGTGGACTGCTTTTATCACACACAAAAAGCTTCTCAAAATGGCCCAAAATGGAAATTTACATCCCTCCCTTTCTAGGATCCCTTAAAAGATGTTGGGTTGTGTGCATTTCTTCCCCAAATACATATTGGTTTTAGTTAAACTGTTCCTCTGACTTTTGCTTTGATAGTTCTAATCTTAACATAGCCAGTCATTACACATTTTTCTTATATGTTGAAGGTGCTTTTGCTTCTCTCCATGAGAAAGGTATGTATTAATCCTAGATTACTCCTTTCAGATATGCATTTCTAGAACAGTTCTTCTCTGTTGCATAGGTTTTATTAAATGCTGTTGTTTATTAATATTCATACCATGTTCGATGTCTTAAAATATTTATACAGTCTACTTCAATAGGAATACAAAATACTTGCTTCTGTAAGCCATGGTACACCTTTTTTCTGTATTTAAAATTACATACAAAGCATCTCAAAACTTAGTAATATAAACTACTGTCATGCACAGAAATATATGTTAATTCAGTGAAATCTCAGAGGACATACTACCACTTTCCAACATGTTTCTTTTCAGTGCAATTTTTTTGAAATCCACCTTCATTTTTATTTAAAGAATAATACTGGAGAGTTCTTGAACAACACATAAAAGCATGAAGCCTAATCCGAATACAGACAGCAATAGCAGGTTACATCATTCTGCAGGTATTTAGCCAGTGCAAAGTGGACCTAGTAAGACTGTCTTCTCGTAAGCTCAGGACCTGCACCATTGCAGTCAGTGGGAATTTCACACCGATTTTCACAAGTACAGAATCAGGGCTTGGAAGTTTTGCCCAAATGAATTCTATACCTGAACGTCTTCCTACTCTCTCTTCTATCCAAAACACTTTCCAGATTTTACACACCATCTACACATTTTAGAAGTTCCCTGCCATATCACTTTTCTTTTATCTTTGCACTGTGACACTTCACACTGAGCCTTTCCTTTTTCTTTTGCCCACTTTCCTCCATGCTTTCCCAACCTCAACCCAGTCTCCTTTTGGTAATAAAGGGAGCATCTCTCCACCACTGCAACTATATTCTAAATCAAATCACCAGTGATTACTAGCATCACCCAAACATCACTTCCAGGCAGAGTGCATCACGGCAGAAACTTACCACAGTCCCATTCATCTGAGCTGTCACTGCAGTCTACTTGCCCGTCACACCAGAGCTCACGCGGCACACATTCATGGTTGGCACATTCAAGTTCACCCTCTTCACAAAATGCTGCAAGGACAAAAACACGTTTCACTCCGAGAAAGAAATGATCAATGTGAGGTTCACATTGAGACTGAAAAAATGAGAAGGAGGGTGAAGGTAGGCACAGATCAGATTTATGGAGCAAGAAAGCAAGACAGATTTGCAACAAAATTCAGGATGGGCATCACTGAGGCAGAAGGTGGTTGCTGTCACACAGTTGCAGAGGGCATCACAACTCAAAGGGAAGGAAGGGTGTCTGGAAATGGCAAGATCTGTGATTACTTAGTATCATTTGTGGTCTTGTCATATGAAACCTGTCTAAGCCTCTCACAAGCTTTAAGTATTCCATGCTTTTTAGGAGACTGCTCCAAATCTGTTTATTCTTCACGTTCTTTGGAAATAATATTTTACTGTAATGCATATGTATTTCCTTTCATCCACACCAATTCTATATTCACTTTTGGACCCTCCTTTGCTATTTAAAATCATGGAATTATTTTTATCTCCACTTCAGAGATGGGGAACTGATGCACAGAGAGACATGCTCCAGCTCACAGTTGGTTGCCAGCTGGCAGCATTAGATAGGGATTTCCTGAATCTTTGTCCAGTGCAGGAACCACAAGAGCTTCCATTTGCAGGTGACGTTTAGCTTTCCCCCAATCATAAAAAACCCCCTCCCAAAAGGCAGGTGTGTGGCATTACAGTACCCTCCTCACTAACACACTTCTCTTCCAGCTTCTATAAACCCCGTCATTAGGGAATTTTTGAGAGCTGGGGGAGGGTGGAGAGGGAGAGAATGCGTGGAAGAAAGCTGCATTCAGTTGTGCCTATGTCTGGCTGTTGTATAGCATCTATACTGCCATACAAACCAAGCATTTATTTGCAACACTAGTGCAAAAAATGTACTCCACAGCAAAAACCATACCGATAGAGCAGGCAGTGCTGCCTACTCTGACATATGTGATCTTTCTGGCTCTGGAATAAAGTGTGCAAAACTAGAAGAAGCTGTCTAACTCTGCCTTCCAGAGACAGCATGTTTCAAAAGCTGGAAGCCCTCAGCTGGGGAAACTTTGCTGCCATTTTGGAATATTCAACCCCTGACACAAAAGCAGAGAGGAAATATAGTCTGACAACTACAGACTAGCTTAACCTAAGTCGTCGGAGAATCTTTTCTCTGCCATGATCTTAATGTGTGATCATGAGCAAATCACTTTAATACCACCTTCCTGTTTTTTAGATTATAGCACACAGACCGCTTGGAAGTCAGATGGTATAATCTCCACAATGAAAACCAGATTAAGAAACGTTCTGTGAGCTGCCTCTTCCCAAAAAGAAACAAAGTTAGATCTAGTGATATATGCAGGCTGCCAATCATTTTGGCAAACATATTCATATGCTCCACATAGCACATAAAATGTGCCTACCATCCTGTCCCTGCCAACAGAACTCCAGAGACTCAAGAGCAGCTTTTTTTAAATTGTAAAATTATATCCTACAGTCCCAGCAGAAATGCTGAAATACCAGGATTGCCCAGAGAATTAAATTTCAGCTTTCAACCAAGTTTACCAAGCATCTCTTCTTTCTTGTGCAGGCTGAGTGTCACCCAGTATGTCCTTTGCAGTTCCTTGTCTTGGGGACATGCCCACACACCAGGTTTTCTCAAAAGAAGAGCATTCAGGGTACCACTAATATATTCATGAAAGTGAGGCTAACATCTCATGGCACCCACTCCCAGCTTCGCATGCAGGGTGGGAGCCTGCAAAGCAGCTGCCATTCACAGGTCTTCCACCTCTTCCCATCCCACTGTTCAGCTGCGCAGTGGAAACAGAATACAGGGCAGTTCCCGCAGGGGACCAGGGGGCCTACTGCACACTGTCAGCACTTTGAGCCAACTTACACTGTGCACATGGACAGTATGCCCATACTGTCAGTGTACCATACTAAGTTTTGCATCTATCTCTGATACTTATCACAGTCTGGATTGTAGAAGACGCCTGTGGAGCCAAGTAGGGAGACAGAATCTAAGAAATGCCAAGCAGAAGAGAAATCAAATAAAGCAGGGACACATGAAATTTACTGAAGAACAGATCAGAAGGAAAATCAAGTGGAAATCAAGAAAAAAGAGCAGTGAGCAGCTATACCTATATGTAATGAAGTTGAGAAAAGTTGGGAAAAGGAGTCAAGAAGCTACAAGGAATAAAGAAAAGAAGCACAAAGACACAAGAAGGAGGAGGGAGAGAGAGAAAAAAAGAGAGAGCACTGGAGTGACCAAGGAGACAGCAAGCACCCAAGGATGTGAACAACAGAGGACACAAGATGAGGAAAGAGATAAATTGGTGCCATAGCAAAACTGAAAAGGAAACTGAGGGAATGACTAAGCCTTTCTGTCTGTAGGAAACCTTTTTACTTCCATTTATTTTGCACCCCAAGATCCCAAAAATGTGATCAGCCCTTTATGGGACTAACAAACTGCACAAGCCCTTACAGCAGTTCTTTTCATCCATCATGTCAGGGCAGTCTGGGAAACCATCACAGATCATAGTGTGTTTGATGCACAGCTTCTTCAAAGGACACTCCCAAAGACCCCTTTCTCTACAACCTGGAGGCAGAGAAGCACAGTTTTGAAACACTTGCATGCAATATCAAATCAACTGTTTTCTTCTTCCTTAATAACCCTGAAACACCCAAAATAATTTCATTTGCAGTATAAATTTTAAAAGGTACCAAGAATAGTTACTAACGAAGAAATGGAAATAAGATTGTCACAGTGCACACTTGATAAATGGGTATAAAACATATAACACTGCATACTACTTCAGTGCTTTTTAAATAATAATGAGAAATATGTAATTTTTTTCTGACAGTGCTGATACAGAATCTAATGCAGATCACGATGAAAGGTAGAAAGATGCTGTAAGTATTGATCACAAACCGTTTTCCTGGTTCCATAATCTGAGACCAAACCAGTTTGAAAATATTAGAATGACCTAATGCTGTATGAATCTTCAAGAGGGTTCATTATTATGCAGGGAACACACTGCATTATCATCTCTTCAACGTCCTGCTAACCAGCCTCTCTGATTTCAAGAGGAACACTTATAAAACTGTGTCAAAGTGCTTTGACAGGAAAATTCCTGTTAGTCAGCTAGAGGAAATTAAGAATGGCCCAAAGTACATTTTAGAAAAATGTTTTCTCTTGTTTTGTTTCACTATTTATTTCCATCAACTAATAAAGCACTTCACTGTGATACCAGTTTAAATACTTTGACATACTAATGTCCTGCACACCTGACATTCTGGTTTTATAGGAAGCCATAAAAACAATGTGTTCTCCTGCCTAAAACAGATGGTTTGATTGCCTTGTTTGGCCTGTTCTATCGATGATAATGCTAGTTTTCATTTTAATCCAAGCTCAAATTCAGGTGACAGCCCTGATGTCCCCACACGCAAATAGTCGCGGTATAAGCTCACAAACTACATTTGAAGCAGCACCTCTGTTTGCCTGGACCTGGAACTACAGCAGCGTATAAGTTACTAACCAGATACGTTGTTTCCAAGAAGTGTTATTTCAGAAGTGAGTATTTTACAAACAAGAACCAGAGAATCACTACTAGCTCATATGATTACTGGTAAAATCTACCCACATTTTAATTGTAACTGGATGTGTGGAGTGCTTGATTTTGTTTAGACTGAAAAAGCCATGTAAATAAATGTTACAGCACAGAGAAATAAGTAGCCTTGAACCTGTGAAACTAATTCCACACTATCAAAGAATTTTCTTGGGTATCACCATTTTCCAGGTCTCCTTCTCGACAATATTTGTGATAACTATTAATGAAAAATTAATTGAAACCAAACAAAACTTTACTCTGATAAAGAACAAAGAATGTCAGTCATGTTAGGAACATGATATGAAAATAAAATAAAAAAGCTTAAAAAAATATAATTTATGAACTTTGCAATTTTTTAGCAGTTTACAATTAATTAAATACATGTTTGCTTTTCCCCTTCATCACACATTATAGTGTTACACTGTGAAGTGTTCTATGACTCTCCAAAATTTATCTTCGACTACAACATAGACAAATATAGAGACAATTCCCTAGGAAAAATTCACTACTTACTGAATTCAGTGTTCAAATATACTGTTTTGTTGGTAGAAGACATCTACCATTTGCTGTATTTATATTTCTTCTCTAAATATTTTTGTGACATACATTTTTAATTTAATGACAATGAAATGGAAGTGAAAATGGAGGTAGAAAAACTTGTCCATATTTATATCACCCCCATCTCAAACATATGTTTTGGCAAGAGATAGGGATTCCCATGTGATCTTACCTTCATTCTTCTTCAAAATTTGAAGCAAGTTACCATTTGTTATTCACACGTATATTCCCCATGCAATTGTTATTAAGTTGATAACATTAAGACCACCACATTTTTCTCTCAACTAAAATACTACAGTCAGAACTCAGATTGCAGAAAATAGTGAAGGACAATACTGGTTTTGAATGTTATGTCTTCAATTTCTTTAGTACTCTTCTAGGACCCTCTTCTGCTCTCTGCCAGAGGAATTGTTCAGCAGCCAGTAAATTAATATGATCAATTACAATCAAGCATATTTAATACCACAAACTCCCTTGATGTCTACCATAATAATACGAATTTTCAGAAATTATCTTCCTCACATTTTACTGAAACGCACTCAGAAGTCTCACATTCAGAAATCTGGGTCAAATTTTCTCCCCAAATCCTAGCCTAAATGGCACTAAAGTCTTAGGATTTCACTGCAATTGCATGGGTGACATTTCCTCTCACAAAGATCACATGAAAGTATGACAGGGATTCCTAACAGGAGGAGACAGTGGGTGCTGAATACAGCTCTGCTCTGCGTGGGCAGAATATACCTTAGTCCCTTTGGACTGTTCCACCTTCCGTTTTTGGCCAGAGTAGCTTGAGCATCCAAAAGCTGTAGCTAGTCTTTTCCAGCCTCCTCCTCCCTGCACTGTGAAGTTGTTCCATGCCTGTCATTTAAGGTACTTCAAATACAAGGTTTATAATTTAAATGCTGACTGTTATTTAATGATACAAAAGCAATTTCAAAGGATAAATCTAATAAAATGTGAGCTAGCCATTTACACATGGAAAGATCATCAAGTTTTGATTTTGTCCTGCACACATGGAATATGAATGAGTTGGAGACAGTTACTTCTGGAGCTCTACAAGGACTTTCTGTTTTTCAGTAACAACATTACCCCTGGTCAATGTAATGTCACACTGACAGCAGTAATTTCCTAGCAGATACAGTCTTCCATATTTATAGAAACTGATAAGAATTCTGCTGATTGCTAGTGACATTCTGTCTAGACTATAGAGACAGAGAGAGATCCACTCAAGAAATGAATGTTATATATTAGAGCAATATTTCATATGTTAATGTCTAGGAGAATAAAATTATCCTAAAAGACGCATAGCAATTAGTGTTCTAAGGAGTTAAGAACAGGTGGCAACAAAGAATATTTGGCAGGGAGGACAACTGAGACAATTGATTCAAAGGTAATGAGATTACAAACTCTGAAAGAGTCACTGTGATCATCAGCTCTGCCTTTCCTTTATAATCCAAACAAGAGAATGACCTAGTATTAAATCCTGTTTCAGCAAGTGTATCTTTTTTTTCTTTTTGCTTTCTTTTTGCAGGGGGAGGGGAATGGGGCAGAAAGAGGAGAGAGAATACAAGCGTGATTTGAAAAGTCCCAGAGATTGAGAATACATTGCGCCTTAGCAATAAATAACCCCTTGGTTACTTCAATCATTAAAAAAACCTGCTTTTAAAAAAAGAAGCATTTTATAGAGCTTGAATTTTAGCCTAGCTTCAGCTTTCAGGTCTTGGATCTTATTTTATTTTTGTGCAGCTGAGTAGAAAGTCTTTTATTGACACAGTTTTGTTGCTCACAAACCATGCTTCCATCTTAACCTGCTCTCTGTTAAAAAAAACAGGTTGTGCACCTTAGCCCTACTCTGCTGGAATGTTTTCCAATCCTTTACTCATATTCACACCTCTTCTCTAAATCCTTAGTGATTTATAATTATTCTCTTTGCCCCTAGGGATGCCAGGCCAGCATGCAGAACTCCATGGAGGCTGCTACCTTAGTCACATAAAGAAATAGTATAAGCTCCTTTTTCCTTCTCAAAATTCTCCTGCCAGCACGTACAAGGTTAAATAGCAACTAAGAGATTTATTGGTTATTCTCAAGCTCAATACATCCCCTTAAGTTTAAAGTCAAGAGCATCTCTACCGTAAGTAAATTCAGAAATACACTGGAGAATAAACTTTGTGGTTACCACTTTATCCTTGTACCTACAGCTTGAGATTGGCCAATCTGAAAAAACATGTAATTCTTGATCCTTGCAGTACAGAATCCACTTCAGCAACACAGATCTTTTGTCAATACGTCATAATGAAAATATTACCATGTATAAATTTAAAACTGTATTTATGAATTCAAGATTTGAACTGCCAGGAAGTCACTTTTTAGCTCAGTAGAACCTCCAGCAATATCAAAAGAATTAAACCTGCAGCATTTTTTATCTTGATTATTAAAGGAATACTCAAACATCCTGGAATACGGTTAGCAGAATCTAAATTATCAAATATCATAAATTGTGTTGACATTAATCAAGATGGATGCTTGCTAAAGTATTTTTACTGTCACTAGTCAAAAAAAACCACTTTCAAACATATTTTTCTTACAGAAAAAGGGGCTTATCCTCTGAACTGTCATGCTATGGTTCAAATAACTGAAGGAAAAACAGAAGTCATTTTCTAATGCTTCAACTACTCTCCATTCAAAAGATCCAACTCATCGAATTTATTTACCACAGTTGTCTTCATCACTATCATCCTCACAGTCAGCTTGACCATCACATCTTCTGGATGCCAGGACACACCTCCCAGAATGGCACTTGAAGTGACTGGGTGAGCATTCTGTCAATGACATGGAACAGGGAGAAACAAGTCCATAAGCTGCAAGCTTAATCATCACGTGTACTTACTTATTTATCACTGTGACTTGTTTCGGAAGCATAAATGACAGGAATAGAAAGCTTGTGCGATACTAAACTGGAACTATGTAGCAGGCAAGACTCTTAACAATGGCACTGTGAATGGGGTGGAGCAATATTTTCCAGAGCTCTCCCTCACATGCCACCCTCTGTCAAATTTCAAAGCTTTGCCAAATAACTGGCATGCAATGTTTAGATTGTGGGCATGGATTTTCTAGTTACTTTTCTCACTGTTGTGGTGTTGTGTGAAGCAGAAATAGATCATCTGATGTGTTGAAATGTGTATAAGAGATTCCCAGGATAAAAAAAAAATATATTTTGGCAATTGTGTGGCTATTTGAATTAATAAAACCACCTACAAGTGTCCACTAATTAACCCTTACATCGCTTGTGCCTCATCTTACAGATTAACATTTTGAGAAAGCTTTATTTAGATGGTTTTGAAAAACCCACCCTTTTTTTCACACTGTACATGCCACCGACTTTGATGTACAACCTCCATCATATGTTGCCTTTTTTTTTTCCTTCCTGCAAAATCTCTCAGGTATTTAGTATCATGCAGTTCCTTGGGTAAATTTTAGGATTCAATAAACAGTTGTACCAAAAGTATCATCAATCAACTCGGGAGCCTTAGAAAATAACATTCTAATGATAAAAGGTATGTGAACTATACTTCCAACATTTAAGAATAACTCATTATGAAAATAACTAAGTTTACAATGCATACTGTCTTGGCCAGCAGTATTCTTGGATTCAGCACTGACTGGAAGAGAAGTTAAGCAATTCAGCACATTGTAATAACTCTGTCAATTATAGCTTAAGTTGGAAAATCACCTATATTTTGTAATCATAAACATTTTAAATGCTCTCAGAAGCTTCATTTCTTTTGTTACATGTATTTTTTTCAGCAATATTTATATAAAATTTTAAACTTCCCAGGGAAGACTTTCTAACCAACATTGGTAATCTGTAGAAATCTGGCATTGAATCAATATAAAATTCTAGCAGTAAGGGAACCCAAAACAACTCTGATAAAACCCTCTAATTAGTTACACTGTTTCTAAAAGAATACTAAAACCCCCTCCTTTTTCATTGATTTTCCAGGAATATCTATTTCAGTGCTAAGATGATCAATAAGCAGTGAATCAGCTTACTAGGCAGAGTCCCTCTAATTAAAGTGAGAATTTTTTTTAAATTATAATTTTTATAAGTGAACAGAATTTATCTCTAGAAATGGAACATACTAGTCCTGTATGCAGTAGTATATTTAAAATATAACCACTCTATGTTACATTTCAAAGCCAAATAATCTAATAACACAGGGAGGAAGGTTAAAAGACATCTGATACCTGAGAAAATTAAATCACATTATTTTTCTTTAACTCACCTTGTTGTGTCAAAATCTTACTTTTCCTTTCCTACACACTGCTGTGTAATAATGGATAATTCCTTTCCATCAGCCTACTGCTGTAGAGGGAAATTATCTCCTTGTCTCTCAAGAGTCCCACGACAGAGGATTTCATTACCATGGTATTACACAACTTTATAAAATCTTCACAGTGATATATGTGCACATGGACTTTGCTTGAAGAAATAGTACTAACTGCTACATATACTTCACTGTTTTTTCATGATTCCTTCACTATATTCACAGCAATACATCTTCACTAAAAGAACTATACACTGACTAGCTTTCACCCATTGCTTTCTCTGAGCAAGATCAAGACTGTGGAAAGACCGTCATCACCGTGTAGGTAAGTAGGAGAAGAGTGAGAACTGAACACAATCAGCATATTGCAGGCACTGTAGCACACACCATCTCACTATTTTCCCAGCTACTTTACTGGCGTTTTGGCAAGAAAAAGAAAAGGCATGTCAGAATTCCCACAGACCTCACATCCAATGACCACTGTAGAATGAGAAGCTGCACAGCTTTTCTCTTCACACATACAAAGAATATGTAGAAGCATTTAAGGCAATGTCATTCTTTTGTTCCATGTTCACACCCACAATGATTAGTATTAAGCTGAACTCAAAATTTGACAGTTGCTACTGAAGCTGCTTTGGCACAACTCTCTACAAAACTTTTCCCAAACAAAAACCAAGAGCAAACAGTAGCTGGCAAAGACACTAACATTACAATATTTTTCTCAGAGCTGTCGAGGGGCTCAGCTTTGTTAAGATTGCCAAGAGTCTGTCTCATGGTTAGAAAAGCATTATTATATCATCTAAATAGGTAAAAAAGTGAAGTATAAACACAAGCAAGCAGTAGGTGTGGTGTTAGCAACAAATCTCAAACACTGACTTTCACAGACTGAGGATAATTGATCCTTCCTTCTAATAGATTTCTTATGAGAACTTCCTCTTATCTGCAAACTGTAGGTATTCAAATTCCCTGAAACCCAGTTTGGAATCATTTTCACAGTTTAAATATTATAATTTAAAGAGGAGGTATGGGGAAAAAAATCAGTGACTTTGGGAACCTAATTAAATCTTTAATTTCCTGTTATATGTATTTATAGGAGTTACCTTCTACACCTTCATCTGGTGTGAGACAAGTTTGGTTGTCTGAGTTCTCATCTGGAAACTGAGTGCAGTCAGTATCTTCTGGCCACTGCAGACCTACAATCCCAAGCACAGACTCACAGCGTTCCTTAGACTGTACACATAATGTCCTGAGGAGACAGAGTGGAATTGCACAAAGTAACTGAGTGACAGTCTTAAAAATTCCCAGTTATTGGAAGTTAATAATCCTAGCCAAAGTTAAAGATGAAGATCAAGGAAAAATCAGTTAATCAGATTTCTTTAAATGAAAAAAAAAAAAAAGAAAATACCAAAAGATATGTTGCTACTGTTGAAACATTATTTTAAGTTATTGTATGCAGACTATTACCTGAGTTATAATAGCCAAATATAACTACCTACAAACATCCTCTCCTCTGTAAGGGATGGCAGAGAACCTGTTTTAAGAAGCACTAACTGTCCTCCTTCAGGAAAAAAAGCCAAATACATTTTGTACCAGTGAAATGCTACCTCTTCTGATGATGCTACCTCAGAAACCATGCGGTTTCAGAAGGACAAAATATTTAAACCTGCAAACAAAAGAGCAAAGAACTCCCCAGGGAATTCAATAAAATTAAAAGTTTGGAGAAAATCAAAGCACAGATCAAGCTAGTCTTGAGGGTGTTGTCAGTTAGAGCAACAGAAGGTTGTATCATCACACCTGGAAAAAGGCATGAATATAATCCTCCTGCTGCACTTTTTTTTTTTACCATAGAAAGACAGGATGCGCCACACAAAATTTGTTCAGTGTTCATCTACATTAACATCCTGTCTCGCAAAATACCCAATGTCAAATGCTTCAAAAGTACGAACAGAAAATGCATAATAGAAAAATCCCCTATTATTTTAAGCATTATTTTAAACATTTAGCAACTACTTTTGCCTGGAATCATAGCTGATGTGCTGTTCAATATAATAGTCTTGTCTTGTACCTGTGGTATTTTGAATCCCTGTTTGTTTCAACTGCCTCTTTTTCTTTTTTTATTTTTGTGGAATATTAACTAGGCAGTATGGGATTAGGAACCTCAACATCCTTTTCATCTCTTCCTCCAAACAGAAACATGCATCATGCTTAACAGGTGTTTGTCTAAGCTGTTCTTAAAAACTCTTCAGTCAGCAAGATTTCATATACTTCCTTATCACTCATTCTCATACACAGGTATCTATTATTTTCCTTATATCTGACCTATAGCTCTCCTGATGTACTTTAAATCCATTGCTTCCTGGTTTAACCTCAGTGAACATGGTGAACAATTTATTTGTTTTCTCACAGAAGCTCATTTTTACCTATTTGAAGGCTATGATGTCTCCCCAAGTCTTCTCTTGTTTCTAAACTCAGCAACTCATTTAATTGCACCTTTTAGATCATATTTTCTAAACCTATAAACATTTGGACTTTCTCCTACTGTTTCAAAGAAAATTCTCCTTTGTTCTTATAGGTTGAAAAATATTCAACAGTAGGATCCCACCCATTTCTATTTTTTTCGGTTTCTTTCATGTCACTTTTAATTTGCCTTTTATTTAATTTGATTAATTTTTTCCAGATCTTTCTTCTAGGAACAGACAGTCCTTTCATGGAAGTAATTTTATTCCACTCATTTTCCTTTGACCTTTTGACCAATGGACCATTTTTTTTCCTGCAATCAGCTTCAAGAAATGCCGTGACCAAAACCAAGCAAACAGATCCATTTAAGATCAATTATTTTATGCTCTTTTGAGAAAACAATACATTATTAATCTTCTCAAATTTCATTTTTTGCGGGGGGGATTGCACGAAGAAGAGACAATGTTTTTCCATGCCAAATGATTCACCATTGAGTTGAGCAGCTGGAAGGAATGGATGAATGAATTCACATCGGTTAACCATGCTACAGTTAGAGACTCTCTCTCTCCTTTTAGATCCTTCTCAATATTGAAAAGGTTGACTCCAACCACCACTTTATAACCTCAGCTTTCTGAATGCCAGAATTTTTATTTACCAATGACAAAAACCCAAAACCAACCACAACAATATGATGAATACATGTTAAAAATTTGATTTTGTTAGCTGAGACATCTAAGCCATTTCTGTCCTCTGTTCTCTGCACACTCAAATCTTTGGCCAAAGCTGACCCTTTCCAAAAGCTATTGCAAGCCATTTAGTTGTCAGTATGGTTAAAGAATTAAAATGTAGATAATCTTCAGAGTAGTGCCCATCACAGTGCATATGGAAGCCTACTGCAATACTGGTAGGAAAATTGGAAAAGCAATTGGTACTTTTTTTTTTTTTTTTTTTAAATGCTTCCCACATTCCCATACCGACTCTCACAGTTGGGGTATCAGAATACCTTGGTAACAGACGACTTTCTTTACTTCTCAGTCAAATCTCATCTGTGATATTGTCTATGAATCAATCTAACAAGTTAACAGTTAACAAGAGCACACATCACAAAGCAGAGAAATCTCCTTCTTGAAGGATAAAGAAATACAAGGTAAAAAAAAAAATGTAGCATAGAAATGTGTAATTTTCTGCAATGGAATTCAATCTAGCACTTTTTTAAGAACATTAAGCATATTTAGCAGTTAACTAAAATATCTCTTTACTCTCCCAATTCAAATACAGTAATGGAATGCCTAAATTGATGCCAACACATAAGGGCCATGAGATTTGACCAGGATTATTCTTCATACACATCTGTCACAATTTTGAAACAACACCAAAGTCAGCTGGAGACTACTTAAATACACAGATAGTGTAATCTCCATGTCATTATAGGTTAACGTGACTAGGATAGAATATGTCCTATCCAGTGATAGGACGTGTGGGAATGGTTCAAAGCTGCGCCAGGGGAGATTTAGGCTGGGCATTAGGAAGCATTTCTTTACTAAGAGGGTGGTCAAACAGTGGAACAGTCTTCCTAGAGAGGTGGTCGATGCCCCAAGCCTGTCAGTGTTTAAGAGGCATTTGGACGATGCCCTTAATAACATGCTTTAACTTGGTCAGCCCTGAATTGGTCAGGCAGTTGGACTAGGTGATCGTTGTAGGCCCCTTCCAACCGAAATAGTCTATTCTATTCAATATATACATTTTGAAAATTATTGAACTGCTATTCCTCTCCTTGTTTTGAATACTTCAGATACTAATCACACATGTGTAATAAACTGCATTTAATGATCTTATAAAATATGGTTCTCTACTTTTTGCTAGGGAATTCCAAAGCAAAGTTTCTGGCATTTTCAATGGAAACAGAAAATTGGGAAAGACTAATATGACAGACAATGTCAGTCAAGAATTAAATGAGTTATAGTATAGTACCTGCAAGGTGGGATCCGCTGATTTGTATGGGGGTCACATTTTGGAACTAAGATTGTACAGGCAAAAAACATAAGGTATTTGTAGCAGTTGGTCTGAACCAAGGCTGGGAAAAGAGAAGACTCCCAGCTGATAGAGGCTTCCTTCTGCGTCCTGTGGCCCAGGTAGTTTGGGTAATAAGTATAGTTGTAAGGCAAGTTCATACAGAGTTCCAGAGTAATTGGTTCACACTGACCTTTCACAGAAAGAAAACAAAAAAAGAAACACAAATGGTGGGAGATTAAATGAAATACAGAAGAAATAATTACATAAATATTTAACAAATTTATCAGTCGGGATTTCCTCTCAGGCTTGAGAAACTACAAGTTTCAGAGCTCAAGACCGCATATGAGCCTATTCACACCAGTAAAGAAAGGTGGGTTTGACCTCTGCCTGCCTAATAACGTATTCAGAGACTTGGATTCCCTTACCAATATGCATTAACTTCCTGAGTAACATCTTAACTTTAACATGGCACAATAAACCATTCTTTAAAAACAGATTTATTCTTTTTAAATCAAGTTTCTGATGATTTTCAAGAGCTCCTGTACGGCACAGCAACACGCTTCCTACTGATGTACTATGCTACCGTAACACACCTCATACTGGCAGGGCAATTGTCAAAATTAAGAAGACTGGGATCATAGGATACTTTGGGTTGGAAAGGATCTCAGGAGGTCTCTAGTCCAATGTCCTGCCCAAAGCTTGGTCAGCTCTGAGGACTGATCAGGTTTCCCAAGGCTTTATTCAGTCAGGTCTTGAAAAATCTCTAATGACAGAGACTGCACAATTTCTCTGTATAGAAAACAGAAGGCAGGATTTTTTTTTTTTTTTATTATTTTATTTTTTGCATCCCAAGATCTGAAGGAAGAATGGGGATGATTAGGTTATGTATTGCACAAACACCGAGTAAGAAACAGTCTACATGCTAATAATTTAATTCAGATAAGACATAATTGATAATAAAGAGAATCGTAAGTAAGAGCAAAATAAATGCAACAGCTACAAGTCCATATGATTACACAGACTATAGCTGTATAAAAAAATCATCCAGCTTTTAGGGGGTTTATCACAACACATATTGAACTGACCGAGTAGTTTGGATTTAAAAAATTGTACAGCTTTTGTATTTCTTCCCAAATTGGTAGTCAGAAATATTTATTTTTCAACTTTCCACCACAACAGAAAACAACAGACAGAATTTCACTTCAATTCAGACTGAAATTCAGCTTTTTTTTAGCACTGAGACCAATGTGAAATTATTTAATTTTATTTACTTTTGAAATATGAGAAAATTTTCCATGAAAAAGTGTACTATTCAAAAGTTATTTGTTATCAAAAGACTGCATATAATTGCCTCTTCTGGAAGCAAATGTATCTTAATATGATTAATATTCTCCGCCAGCTAGTTGCTAATGTCAGTTGCCAGCACAGCATGGCAACTGTGTGATCCTATAGCTGGATCTTTGAGAGGAAGTTGAAAGATCCAACAGATTCAGTTGATCAGCAGAACCGGCCAGTCCTTCTTGGACTGGCATTCCCTGTTATAACCTCTTTTAGTATTTACCTCTAATCTGAGGATCACGAAGCTCATTTCCTCTCTGCTAAATCCTTGCACACTGCCAATACTGAACTATTGCTGTTGTCTCAAACCACTTAGTCCCAGCTTTGGGGTATATGAGGTTCAAAGACTTCAACAATCCTCCTCACATTACTGCCATTTCCTTTTCTTCATGATGAACTCGCCCTGGTCAGCCCCAGATGCCCAGATCAGTTTGGGTTTTGTCTTTTGATTTTTCACCAGTAAGCATCTTTTCTTGACGTGTACAGAATATTACATGTTCATCAGTATTTCATGATGAAACCCGAGTAAATGAACACAAAAGTACATGCAACGTTCTAAGTGTTTCTATAACATAACATTATTCAAGACTAAAGGGTAGAAATGCACATATATCATTCTCTCTTTGTTTATGCCTCACATTTATAGGGGTTTAAGCAAATTCTAGAAGAAAATCTAGTCCACTGAAATGCCCCTGTAGGATAGCTCTTCACATGTTTTCAATATGATTACATCTTTCACACTGTGTTTAGAAAGCTTCTATCACATTATGTGCAAAAGTGTCATTGTAGGTTTGAAAAGAGTAACTTTGACTCTCACACCCAATTCCCTACAATCCACAAGCAGAGTAACAAAAGGAACATACACTCCAGGGGAACATCTGACTGAGTTTAAGTAACCCAAGTGTTATTTTTTCCTTCAGATGTCTGTCCTACAGTTTAAGAGATCTTGCTACTCCCTTATTTATAGCATATGTAAGTACAAACTAATGAGTGGGGAACAAGGAATAAAATTCATTGTATCTTTTATCCTAAATAAAAAAAAACTAAACAGATTATGCCTGGGTTTAATATCTTAATGTATTTATTATTAACTTGCTCTACCTACTATATAGGAATTTGTTCCAAACATAGTAACAGAATTGAATGGGATATTTCACAGAATCACAGAAGGGTTGACGTTGGAAGGGACCTCTGGAGGTCATCTGGTCCAAGCACCCTGCTCAAGCAGGGCCACCTAGAGCAGTTTGTGCAGAACCATGCCCAGACAGCTTTTGACTGTCTCCAAGGATGGAGTCTCCCACAACTTCTCTGGGCAACCTGTGTTCAGTCACCCTCACAGTAAAAAAAGTGTTTCCTTATGTTCAGAGGGAACCTCCTGTGTTTCAGTTTGTGCCCATTGCCTCTGGTCCTGTCACTAACCACCGAAATAGCCTGGCTCTGTCTTTTTTACACTGACCCTTCAGATATTTGTTCTGTTATCCTAAATATGTTGTAACTGCATTATAATACAGAGCCTAAACTGATCAGACATTATCACACACTGAGAACATCCATCATACTCAATATTGTGAAATGTGGCCTATGCTTCGGAATTTTCCAACCAATGAGTTATTTGGGCCAGAAAATACTGCTTTGTCAAAACTGAAATTTTACACGGGAATTCTCATCTCTTACCAAAGATGAAATAACTCTGGTCAAAATATGAACAGTGAAAATAACATGAAAAAAGAAAATAGTACTTCCAGATGTTATGCAAGAAAAATCTCTCCCAAATTCTCTTGCTGTTCCATTGTGTATAAACAATTAAATATTCACTGGACCGGAAAGGGAGAAAGAGAGATGATCCACAAGTCTAATTCAGATTGTGTGTTACTCCTGTTGAGAATTATGGACTGTTGCCCATAATATGATGAGGAAACATCTTCACGAAAAAGCTCTTGCGTTTCTTATGACATGGAATAGGAACATTGTTTTAGAACTCAAGTATCACATGTCAAAAAGTGTTTTTCACTATCTTGTAACATAGTCCTAGCTACTCGAACGTTTTCCAAAATTGCTGTCCATACATACAATGGGATACAAAAACCTGCATTGATCAGGAAAAGATTTTGGACCACAGAATAAACTGCTTTGGACCACAGTAAGTCTCATACTGATTTATCCACAAAGAAGATGAGTCCAAGAAAGACAGTACACTTTCAGCTCTCTCTTATTGTGAGAAAGACTGAATTGCAGTCACACTGCTTGAAAGACTTGCCTTTTACAGGCCTGTAGTCACTGTTTATGAAAGGTAATTTGCTTAAGAGAGAACTGCTCCCTGAGTATATAAGAACCAGAGGCTACTGTGGGAATTTACTTATTTTCCTACTTGTTGGGTAAGGTTGCTGCTGATGCCTTGTTTGCCAGCCAAATAGAGGACCTGTCTTATGCATGACTGGTGACTACACAGCCATCATCTGTGAGTCCAATGTTCATCCCGTCACAATATATCAGATACATTTTATGTGTTCTTTACTAAGCAGTTTAAGTAATACATATTTAAAAATAAATAAAATTACAAAATACTGTCTTTTTTTGACCTGAGTAAATGTAAAGTTGCTACAGTTTTAAACATATAAAACAGGGCTTAGTGTAACGCCTGTTAAGTTGTGGAAGCATTATGAGTAAAGAAGCTTTGAAACAGCAGATAGCAATATTGAAGCCCCCGTTCCTGGGTAAACCGCAGTTTTGTGGCAAAGTCAGGATTGCTCAAATAAAAAAGCCGAATCTTCAAATGGAGAAACTGAGAAGCAACACCTGTTCTTAGAGGCACAGGCTGCTAAAGCTGCTGCTTCTCCTGCAGGCAGAGGAATCTGGGACTAAACATCCTTCAATCCCATGAGCCTTCAGCCCACAAGGAATCAACCTTATCATACACATTTAAACTTGTGACTAGCTAGAGTGGAGTTATTCAAGTCAGTAATTATATCTCAACGATTACTCATGTATTCTGACCTTAAAACATCAGGAAAATATGACCTTCAAATCTCACCAAAGACAAGAAAAGATTACTTGAAGAACTGTTTTCTTTGGAGATGCCAGGTACCTACAGTTCCAAGGGATTTCAGCAGGAACTGCAGATGTGGTCAACAACTGAAGTAATTTGATCTGTTGTGATATCTCATGTTTGATTTCTCCTTGATTAGTGTATGTATCTCAAGTTATATTGCTTCCTTTTGACCAGGAGGGGGACAACCTCTCATGGGAGATAATATCTGACCATGAATTGCAAGACACAGAGGAGAAAACGACCGAGATAATTCAATTATGATAGCTGAGATTTCAACCAAAAAAAAAATTTAAATTATTTTAAAAATTTAAATTTTATTAAAAGTTTTTAAAAAGTGAAGTGGATTCATTTTAGTTTTGTGTTATATGGATACCTTCCTTCCCATTTCATAACCCTTTGTAAATATTTCTTGAAGGAGAATGATGGTTTGGTTCACAACAGGCAAGTAAAAAAACCCAACACCTACTACTCTAATCAGCTTAGAAGGCTCCTTCTCACCTGAATAGTTTGGTTATGGATATGGATTAGAGGACAGACCTACACAGGTGATGTACATAGTAGGCATCTGCTGCAGACCACCTTAGCAAAAAGAAGAGGTAGATGAACCCTTCTTCAGAAGGCAGGAAGATGCCTCGTGATTGCAGGCGTTGGTACTTATGAGAGTTTTAATCATGCTGATATCTGCTTGAAGGACAGCAAGTTGGTCTTAAAGGAGAGCCTCCTCAGAGCACAGAAGAGTCCATTCCAATGCAAAGCAAGTCAAGCAAGTGTGGCATAAGGCCACCTTGGCTGAACATGGATCTCCTGACCAAGCTCAAACACAGAAAATAAATATCCAGAAGACAGAAGAGGGGATAGAGCACTTAAGTGGAACATAGAGACATTTCCCAAGCATAAGAGAATGGAGTCAGAAAAGCCAAAGCTCAGCTAGAGTTGAAACTATTGAGCAATGTAAAGGGCAAGAAGGAGGGCTCTTGTGAGTACGTTGGCAGCAAAAGGAAACGTAAGAAAAATGTGGGTCTGATGCTCACTAGGGCAGGGGAACTAGTGACCAGGGACATGGAAAATACCAAGGTACTCAATGTCTTTTCTGCCTCAGTTTCCACTGAGGAATGTCATTGGAAGGCTGCTTTATATTATCTTCAAAAGGTCATGGCAACCCTGGCACCTGATGAGTGGAAAAAGGCAAACATCACATCCATCTTTAGGAAGGGCAAGAAGGAGGATCCAGGGGACTACAGTCCAGTCAGTCTATCCTCAGTCCCCAGGAAGAGTATGGACCAGTTGCTTCTTGAAGACATGTCCACACATGAAGAAAAAAAGGTGACTGGGAACAGCCAGCATGGATTCATCATGGGAAAATCATGCCTGACTAATCTGATTGCTGTCTCTGACAAGATGACTGGCTGTCATTCCCTTTTATTCAGCACCGGTGCATATCTGGAGTATTGTGTCCTGTTTTTTGGCTCCCCAATTCATTGAAAGACATCAATATACTGGAATGAGGTCAGTGGAGGGCCAACAAGCAGGTTAGGGAACTGGATCACACGATCTACAGGCAAAAGTTGGGAAAAGAGAGTTTGTTCAGCCATCAAAAAGGAAGGCTAAGGGGAGGTCTTATTGCTGTTAACTACCTAATGGGTAGGTGTAAAGCAGACGGAGCCAGACTCTTAGTGTGCAGGGATAGGATGAGAGGCAAAAGACACAAGCTGTAACACAGAGCATTCCAATTACATATATGGAAAAAAGGTTTTTATCATAAGAGCGGCCTAACACTGGAACAGGTCTCCCAGAAAGACTGTGGAATCTCTGTCCTCAGAGATACTCAAAACTCAGCTGCACAAGGTCATGGGCCACATGACTTAATTGGCACTGCTTTGATCAGGAGTTTGGACTAGTTGACCAAAAGTGTGAACTAACTTCCTTCTAATGCTAAACATGGTACTTATGATTGCGCCTTTTAAAAAAGTTAGGAGAACCATTGATAGAAGCATATGTAAAGCATATATGCCCAAGTATCTTGTATTTTTACTTCAGCAGGATCTAAAGGCCCCAGCATGAATGGTGCCTGTTTCAAACAAACACTTGTGGATGACAGTCACAACTTTAGAGAGACTGTGGAGTTTGGACTAATTGACCTTCCTGTATCCATTCCAACCTAAATGGAATAACATCATCCAAACAAGCTACCATATAGTACCAAACCATGCCTTGCAGAGGTAACTGCTCAGCACAAAGCAATTACAGGATATGTCTACACATTCATATGTAAGTGAAGGCAAGCCTGCCCATGTGCCAAGGTGACCTGAATTGATGTGACTGTATTAACACATCACCAAGTTTTAATTAATTCTGAATAATTCTGAATACAGTTCTGCCCCAGTTTCAAAACCTAGCCAAATATACTTCTTTTCAGTACATGTTCACAGTGCTGCATTGCACAAGTGAGAAAGACAGCGACTCAGAAGCAAGTGTACAGTGGGTACAGGAGGCTTGCATGGAGTGGTATAGTACAGGACATAAAAATGAAGATATGCAGTGTTGAAGACCCCAATCCTCTACAATATGTATTGGTCAGAAGAATAACTAGTTTTGCCAATTTGAGTATCAAAATTATTCCTTCATAAAAGGGCTAAAAGTTCTCCAGACTACTAAACACAGTACCATGTTTTCTTATATTTTGAAAATAAACCAGTAGCTTCTGCTTTACACTTACACTATGTTGTTTACTTTATGTAAACACTGAATGCCATTAAATGTTAAGAAAAAGTGCAACTGTAAACACACATTAAGAATGTATCAAAAATTCACAGAAGGGAAAATATCTCAATGTCAAATGTTATGAGTACCTCTTAGTACATCAATAATCAAGAGTTATGATGAAACTTTTGTTTCAGCTCTGCCCTTTTCAATACTTAATCATTACACATCTGCATTAGATAGTAAATTAAAGTATTACTGTGTTCTACCCTGCATCCTCATTATACTCTAAAACACCCTAAAACAGTGACAGTATGAAGCATGTGACCTACTTACTGCAGTTTGTCTGGCTGTTTCTCATCTCACAGAGAGAAGTTCCACAGGGATCAGGACAGGAAGTACATCTCTGGTCTCCCTCCTGACAGAGGGTTTGACCTGAGGAAAATAGAAATTTACTATTCTAATTATTTACCAGGCTAATAAAAATGACTGGGGTGTAGTGATGAGAAAATACAGAGTTTACATTACAATTAAGTATTTCGTTTACATAGTTGAGTAAGTACCCTACAGCATTTCAAGTGCAGTAAGGAAGTGTTGTAAGGAAGAAAAGTGTGCAGCACTGTCCAGATGTCACTTTTCTTTACCCCTATGTTTAATATAAGAATTTATATCCCAGTTTCTGAATGAGAGGTATTGATGTCTGAAAGCCATTTACCATGATCCTCTGGCAGAGTATGAAAAGTCATTTAAATCAGATTTCAAAGGGAACAATAGGTCCTAGCTGAAAGAGAATACCCTCTGGGAATTATTCTTCAGTGCCATTCAGTTGATCTGCTTCTCATTTTATAATTGTTTTGGTGGACAATAAAAATCATCCTGAAGAAAGGTCGTCAGAGCTGAAGCTTTATTGTCCTTCTTTGGCTGGTTAAAAAACAAACAACAACAACAACAAAAAGAAACCCAAAAAGGCTATGGTCTTAAAGATAGAATTCAGAATAACTAAAACCAGCACCTCATCAAAAAGTTTCTGAGCACATTACCTGGGTAGTTAGTTTCTCTGACAAATCCCTGGACTTCTCTCTGTCCCACAGTGGTGATAGCTCCTTTCCAAACCATTAAATTCTCTCTTCCATATGACTTTTGCAAGATCAGTCATTTAATTTACTATTCTGTACACAGAGACTGAACAGTTTGGATTTTACCATCTTATGCTGTTTAAAATGGTTTATTACAACTATTGTTTAGTGTTCGTATTGCACTACTGTCCACGAACGTTAATTATTCAGTCATGGCATCCTTATATTGGGCATACAGAAGATGCTGAAGAAACATCTTGTTTCAATGACCTTGACAACAACCTTGTCCCAAATAATTGATGATGTAGTCATATCTATTCACAATAATGGGGATTTACTTCCCTTCATACATGTTATATATTAAAGCAACGGAGGTACTTTCTTTTGCTGTAGCAATTGACTGTCTTATTTTACAGGTGCATCTGATTGCAAAACGGAACTTGAAAAGTAGGGAAAACCTTTTGACTTCTAAGCTATCACAAATCTTTACATTAAAATTCATTTTTGAAGTTTGCTCCAACGCCTCCTTATCTCACAGTGGAAGAGTTTCTCAACTCTTTAAAAATCCCTGTGCTACAGTGTAGATTCTTTTGATCCTAGCACAGTCAATGCTGAATTTCTATAAACACACTCTACCCTGTTTTTTGAAGGGATCGCAGAACCAGCTGTGAATACATCTATATTAGATTTCTATTGTCACAAAATGAATGACAGCAGTAATGTTAATAGACGAAATACCTTAGATTTCCTTAAGGTATGTAGCGAAGGAGACCATATTTCTCATTCAGATACAGATGAAGCAATGGTCATTTGTAATCCCCATATGTATCTACTTGTACCATTACACAAGGTCCCTGTATCCTTATATAGGCAAGTGGCAAGTCACTACATCTTGACCTCAAATTTCTACGCTGATTTGACGTTTACTGTGTTTGTAACAAAACCAATATTCCAGATCACTTCAGCCCTAACTTCACTGCCTCTGCTAGGCACACCGAAATTGTTTGATTTGTAGAGCAGACAAGTCTTTGTATTAAGTGTATGTCCTATTACATTTTCTGTAGTTGCTGAAATCAACAACATAAATAAGAAATATGAAAGAAAGTTACAAACAAGAATTCTGCCTTGCTTTTACATTGACTTTGCAAGGAACCAAAGAGGAATAATCCAAATGAAGTCCAAATTCTGCCTACATATTCTCATGCAAATTTAGGACGGACAGGATGTGGTTGCATAAAAGAAGAATTTTGCTCTACACAATATTGCAAAATATTAGATAGAGTTTTTTGCACATTGAAGAATTAATAATAAGAACAAGGAAAACTTTCATATTTAACAGCTTTGCAGTTTAATGCTAAATGGAAAAATCTTTTAGCATGATCTGTGAGATCATTGACTACATAATTATCACCCCATCCTACTCCTCTGCATTTAGTATCCTTGAATCTGTATCTGTTCATCTTACCAAAAAACATTTTTAATCGTTTCTTCAACATCCACAGAGGCAAAAAGCCGTGAAAACAAAACACATTGCTGACTTCTAGCCCAGATCATGCATCAACGTTTTCTGTGAAATTCTCTTTTACTAGTGATAAACAAATTTAATAGGCTTAAGTTGGGTGAATTTTAGCAGTTGAAATGGTTGCTTATAGAACGTTCTAAATAGTTTTGTACTTTTCAATTTATCCCATTCTCCTGCCTCATCTCTTTTATATTAAAAACGGTAGTTTCATTATCAGCAAGAGAAACGGAGGATCATGGAATTCATAGAATAAGACTGAGGTTGGACATCAGGGAAGATGAAGAATAAAAACTGAGCATTTTGTGAGATAGCACAGTCAGAACTAAGGAAAAAACCTGGTTCTCAGTTTTTAGATTGCCAGAGTCCGAACTGGAAGAAATTTCATGCAAGACCTCTTCGGAACGTCAACATTAATTGTGAAGAATAATAATGGTAATTTCTATGTTCCAACTTCTCGGTTGTTTTTTGGCATGGAGATGTTTAAATTGGAATAGGAAGATCCTGAGAACTTAATATGAACAGAAGGGACTGAGTAGACATGCTTATGAAAGGATTTCTTCTAGACTGGTTTCCTGAAGAAATGAGGCTTATATAATCACACTGTGTATTTATCTTATGATAACAGGTCTGTTCTACTCTAATAACTTTTGAATAGGTTGTCCTATTACCACTACATCTGACAGCACTAGAGTTTTCTAAATAAAGTGAATTCCTTTAATTTCTTAAAAACAAGATTCATAAGAGAAAGATTTCAATAATTCTCACATTGAAGGAAAGGCTGCAATCTGAACCTATACCTTACCAGAAACAAGAGAACTACATGTGAAAAATACCTTCAAATGCTGAAACCATCACAACATGACATCATCTCTTTCTGAGTGTCAAAATGTACCACAGGACACAAGTCTTTGGGAAACCATGTTCCAGGGCTCAAGAAACTGCCTGGTTTCCTTTTCTTTCATACAATCCATCATGAGACAGCTGTTAAGTAGCTGTGAAACCTTACATTCTCATATATTTTCCCTTAGTCACACTAAATCATTAGTTTACTTATGAAAACATCCTTTCTCTGACTCACAAGTTCTGATGAAAATAGGATTTGCATGAGAAAATTCCTCCTCAGACGACACCAATTGCTGCGATAGTAGCTTCTAATTGCTGCAGACAATGTGAATATGTATTAATTTATTTCAAGTAACAGCTGATCATGTCAGATAACCAAATACTATGCTAAATACCACCTCCATTTCTTTAACTTTTTATATTTTTAAGGACTAATAAAACTCTGCTTACAACTTCCTGTGTGAAAGGAGACACTAACCAGCCTTAGCAAGCGTTATTTGAAAGGCAAAGAAAGTAAATTTGTCAGACAGCTTCAGCTAAAGGCACTTCAGAACAAAGCAGTCAATGGTAGGTTCAGTAAGAACAGTAAAATGAGGGATATCCTTACTTTCACTGCAGTTTTCTTCATCACTTCCATCTTTACAGTCATTATCTCCATCACACTGGAATGCGCTAGGAATGCACTGCCCATTTCTGCACTCCACCAGACCCTGACTATGACATGCTAGAGAGAAAAAAAAGATGATATTCTGATCAACTTAAGTTAATGAAGGTCTTAATTATTTTTTAACATTGCCTTGAAGTTATTTTAGGAGAAGCTGATAACACTGCTTAGCACTGAAGGTCACTAGACATTTTTCATTATATGTAGGCTATGTTTTCAATAGCCTACAGCTATACTGATCTTTAACTACAGGGGCTGAAACTATGTATGTCAGGTATTAGCGAGAGGCTGAGATGAAGGTTCAGCTTTTCCAAGAGAAAAACCCCATCATTTTTACTCGTATAAAAATTGTCACCTATTCTTTGTCCGCTTACTTACATTCCTTTATTCAGATTAGGTTCTTAGATTTCAGGGAAAATTGTAGGATAGCGGTTGCAAGGTCAAGCACTGAATGGCAGCAAGAATCAAAGCAGCATAAGCATATGTCTTATGATAACCTTAATCACATTAAAACATGTGCTAGTTCCCCAAGACTTGATTTTGCAACCTCAGCAATATTCTAGTATAGTTTTTTTGCAGATATACACCATCATCACTGGAGCAGACAGAAGTCCAAACTCTGACAAGGTGTGATAGGTCGCATACAGGCACATCAGAAAGCTGTCACAAACTCAGAATACCTACAGTTTAAGAGGTTACATACATTCATTCATTACTGTTTAATGGGAACATTACAATTAACAAAAAGCTAATTCTGTAATTAACAAGAAGCTGAAACACAAGGCAATGCTGGTACTTCCCAACAATGGCAACAAATATGTAATTTGCTGCAGCTGTCTACCAGAAGGGACATTTGTCAAGTGCGAACTTCTGAAATCAAATAAGCTTGTAGATTTGCCTTACAAGTAATAAGTAAGTATACCACGTATCTTACATTTTGGTTTTTATTTTTAAAGAAAGAAAAAACTAATTTAGAGATTAAGGGAACTTACAGCAATTGATTTCATCTGATTTGTCTATACAGTCATGGTCACCATCACATACCCAATCAGCTGTTATACATCTCCCATCTCCACACTGATGATGCGTCACTGGATTACAATCTATATAAAATGCAAATGTGAGGACAAAAAAAAAAAGGAAAAGTTACCATTTGTATAATTTATATTATTGATCAATTGTTCTATGCCTATAAGCTAATCATTCTTACTAATGAGCCATTTTGCATTAGTAAATTACAATAAGAGATTTTCTGTACCTGCAGATCTTTTTGCAGATGGTAGTTACATATGTTCTGAATTCTATTGCCTATATAGATAGTGATGCATTCATTCCTTCTCTCAGGTGCACAGTCGTTTCCATTTGCAAATAGACAAGTTTCTAAGATTTGTTAAGCACATTAAAAGATCTTCTGGCCTCCCATCTCATGGAATGATTTTCAGTTAGCCAACATTTTCAGTTGCCGCCAGAGAAAATCATTCCCTACATTTATCTTTTTACTAAGAATTAAAAAAAATATGTTTCTCAACTGTCATATTTGGCACTTAACAGAAACTATATTTTTTGCATACGCTTAGAATTTTCCATAAGAATTATCTACAAAGAAACTATTCCAATCTTCATCTTGCTCTTTCTACCCGAATGCTTCCACAAATAAAGAAAAGCATTCTGTTGAGCGGCCCGACTTTACACCAAAATAAATAGGGAGCGTAGACACAGTCCAGTCTGCCAAATCTGCTATGAAACCCATTTATAGCCTGTACAAGAAGTTAGATCTTAAATTTTATATAGAAAAAACTATCTCAAGATAGGAATGGTAAGAGTCAGATTAATGTTTAGAAAAGTCTTTAATCAAAGATGTTTTTTGAAAAAAAACACAAAACAACCAAAACTAACAAAAAGTAGTGCAAGATCTTAAAGTATGTTTAATTTGGAGAAGAAACATAAAGCAAATCTCAGAAAAAACTGTGCCTTTATTTTTAGTTTTGAAATTCTCTGTGCTTTTCCTTAGAAAAGCGAACAAAAAAAGGTGAGAAATAATATTTTAATTTTTAAAAAATTATTTTAGAGCAATAAATTTTTCTCAGGTGTAGTACCAGGAGCAAAAGTTAGAAAAAAATTCAAAGAAAAACTTTCAAAGTTTTCCAGTATTTACATGTGAAGATTATTCTTTTTTACGGCAAAACTTCATTTTTTTCCTATGAAAGTGTAGGTAGAAAGACAAATATAAGGAGGCAGAACACACAAAGTTGATTGAAAACACGATTTGAAAGAAACAGAATTTGATCATCAAAACATACAAGTTCACTATGGAGCTTATGTAAAAACAGTTCAGCTATAAAACAGTTGGCATCACCAGTGTGTAGCCTCTTACGGCTTGCTTTAATCTCGTTAAATTCAGCCAAGTTAGCAAGAAAGCAACCATAACATCTTGAATTAGTTTAAAACAAATTGCAAGTCAGAATATTTCTTCAAAATACCACTACCTTCAAAATTTGGATTAACCCAGAACTCTCCTTTAAAACTTTTCAAATTGCATATAGAATTTGTGAGCTGTTTTTACTTTGCCCAAAAAGAATAACAGCAGGGTATATTACTCTTTTAGTAGGTTAAGGAAAAAGATTGCTGGCTTAGGCAATACTGCTGTCTTAAAGACTTTAGAAAAGCATAAAACTTTCATTTACCACAGTTCTGTTCATCGCTAAGGTCTCCACAGTCATCATATCCATCACAAACAAAGGTATAATTTAAGCATTTTCCCGTGTTGCAACGAAATACATCATCACTGCAGTCTACAAAACAAATTTTTGTAAAACGTTAACATGACATTGGAACTTTCAAATAAACTATAACCACTGGAATGTATTGACTAAAACTAGATTAGCTAAAGATACCCTACAATTTACAGGTCTGCATTAATACTCAATGTGTACCAGTTTATTAGAATCTAGTATGGAAGAACAAGAAAAATCAAAAGCAATTTTTAGACATTTTTATTCTGTTCCTACCAGCTGCTTTTTTGATCAATACCATGAGGAGAAAGTGCTCTGGTTACACATATGGACCAAAATGTTTAATTAATTTATACACGTGAAGTTCTCGAGAAAGGTTGTGGGTTTCATCAGCTAGATTACTAGGCAGTCTTGAGCACCTGATGTGGTTATTAGGTGGAGCTGAAGCTTCTAACAGCAAAATCAAGATCCCCAGACCCTGGTTTTGAGCCTGCCTTTGATCTTACAATGGTTTCAAATGAGCTTTATGCTTTACACAGTTTTGGGCTCAGAATTTGGCCTGATGCCATCTCATCAAAGAATTCTTAGCACTGTCAGCCCTAAGTGGGTTTAGCCTTTCTTTCCATGGCTGAGGCCTTCAGTAAAGCCCTGATAAATATTCTCTGAGAATATCCAAAATGCTTGAATAATATCAGGTTTTATAAAAACATGGAATCTACATTGTAGTTAGGAAAGGGGGCAGAAGAGAAAATAGGGTTGGTGGTGTCTGATCCCATTAGCAATAACTTTTGATTACAAACACACAGTTGGGAAGTGGGTGACCTAGTTTCACTGCCTTCCTCTAGGCTTTTCCTTCACATCTGGCTTTTCCAGGGAGAATGCCAGGATATAGAACAGCTGGGTGGATAATCCCTCCTTCCTGTTGAAGCTATGCCACTGGAACCAATGAAGTTCTTTGTGCCCTTTCTTACTGAGATATGTGGGCATTTTAAATGAGCTCTTTCCTAGACGACATACAGAAAGAGCTCCAAGAGCAGGGACTGGAACACAAGTCTCTCCCCTCAGCTGACATGCTCAACCACTAAACAACAGAATCATGCTACCGCTTGCTTCTTTCCTCTTGGCGTGTGACTCCTGTGTTCATGATTGCACAGTGGTCCCACTTTGAAAGAAGGGTGTCCTTCTAAGTATATTACACACTGAAAGGTGCGGCACTCTCCCAGAAGGTGCAGTGGGATTTCTATCCCTCCAGATCAATGTCAGCCAAGTATTCCACCTCCTAGGTGAGTACTCTAACTTTAAGTTTCTCAAGGCTTTACCAACCTCAACTCTAAAACTTGAACATGAATCACTTCTTCCCCTTCCCCCACAGAAATATTCATGCTTTCTACAAGTTTCACATCATCTTAGAAAGTCCAAACAGAATTAACGGCACAATGCGAAGGACAATGCTTCAGGACATAAAGTAAAATAGTATGGCTGAGCCATGAGCTTTTTAGTCAATAGTTAATTTAGCTTTAAAAGAACAAAAGGCATGAAACAGTAAACACCAAAAACCCCAAACTAAATGAAAATATTTAAATTCTAGTTTCATGTAAGCAGAACAATAGCCAGCTGAGAGTAAAATTCTAAACACTACTTGTTTTGAGTATGCAACAGCATGAAATACTCTGGCAACCTTTATCCTTATTGATCACTTTGTAACTCTGACAGTTTCTATGCTTCCATTGCTCCTCATGCAAATGAAACAAAGCTGTCTTTGTTATATAACCAGGACAAGATATATGTGCAGACTCAATGTACAAATTCTGCCACTTCTAGGAGTAAATAAGACCTTAATTCAACGAGATGCTCTGTTCTAAAGCGTGGCATGCAGTGGCACATGTGTGAAAACATTTTCTTTTGTATTTTATTACTAAAATGGTCTTCATGTTGTTTACCCTTTGTGAAAGAGAAGTATGACTGAGAAAGTCACACGAGGAGGAAGAGGAAGTGAGTGTACGTATTAGGGAAGTGTGTGTGTAAGTGCAGCCAGGGGGATGTAAGAGAGATGGTTACATTTGGTACATTACATGTAAAACTTGCTCATCAGGATCCTTCTGACAGTTCCAAGTTTTGGCATGGATAATTTATGCATTTGTAGATCAGCGTTACAGCTTCTTTCCTGTTCATATTCCTATGTGATAGCTGGCTGAGCTGAATTCTGATTCCTCAGCTGGTACCTTCCATTGCACAAAGTCACAGAGTAAATGGTATAAGCAACATGATGAAATCGTAAATACCAGTTTTTGGCTGCAGCTGTGTAAAAAAGTGACACTGCTAAGTAAATTAAACTATACTTTCAAAAAGAGGGATGGATTCTGCTAAAACCTAACTATTGCCTGCATACTTATTATGGCCCATCAAAGGGAAGACGAGAAAAATGCTAGAGCCAGAAATAGAAAAGTGTTTGCATCACGTAATCAATTTCTTGATGCAGAATCCTGAAAGGAGATTCTAAGAAGAACTATTAATATGAAAAAGATTAAAACCAGAGACTTCTACATTTCATAATGTATATAATTTTCAACATTAAAACTAAGGAGACACAGCTGTAAGATTCACTCATGTAACTTCAGACATCTACATCATTTAGTTTCTAAAGCACATACCCCATTTAAATTATCTGCTTAAAATCAGACAAATCATAGAATCATAGAATCATAGAATACTTTGGGTTGGAAGGGACCTCTAAAGGTCATCTAGTCCAACCCCCCTACCGTGGGCA